TCAGCTCAGAGCCTGATGCGGGGCTTGAACTCACGAACCGTGAGATCATGACCTGAGCTGAAATCAAGAGTCAGATGCTTAACTGGCTAAGCCACCCAGGCACCCTGTGCCTAGAAAATTCTTTTCACAGCCTGTCCCCCCTGCACCCCTTGGCCACCTAAAAATTTCCTACTCATCCTTCAAGAGTCAACACAGCTATGTTTTTCTTCTGGGAAGTCTTCCCTGAGCCATCCCTTCTCCTTGCATCCCATCCTGGGTGGAAATTATCATTCAGGCCATTGTGGCACCAGCGTTACTCTCCTTCGGTCACCTTTCTGGACTCTTGGGAGAGACAAAAGTCCCCTTTTCGGGTTCTTTGTGTCCTAGTGTATCAAGGGTAATGATTGGCCCTTGATACAAGTTGATGTAAGTGGAGGCCCAGTGCTGGAATCCTTGGGACTTAACAGTGGTAGTAGGATTTCCAGGAGAGCCGAGGCTTGCTCAGACCACCCCGGCGATATAGGTAGGCCAGAATTCAAAGGAGCCTGGGGCACAGGGAAGTGGGAGACAGGCTTAGTTAACGAAAAGATACAACTCAGTTGAGTTTGGGGGCATCTGTAAGACTATACCCTTTCCCTAAGTGGCCACCAAATCTTTTATAATTTTTTTTTAGAAATGTTTATTTCTTTGTTTTGAGAGAGCGAGCGAGCACAAGTGGGGGAGGAGCAGAGAGAGGGGAAGAGAGAGAGAGTCCCGAGCAGGTTCCGTGCTGCCAGCACAGAGCCCGATGCGGGGCTCAAACCCGCAGACCGTGAGATCATGACCTGAGCTGCAATCAGGAGACGGACGTTCGACCGACTGAGCCACCCAGGGGCCCCTCACCCTTCTTCTTGTGATGACGTGAGATAATTAAATGCCTAGTGATGAGACGCAGTGAGGTAAACGATGTAGGCATTGCTACCCGGGGTTGGGGGCTACTGATCTTGTCAGGATTCGTCAGGAGGGATCACGTGCCTCTAGACTGTAGTTGACCATGGGTAACAAACTGTGGAAAGCAGAACTGAGGATGAGGAGAGACACCGGTACTGTCATTCATAGAGAGGCAGCAGTCACTCACAGTAGCCAGGAGAGGGAGATGTTTGGCATTTTGTGGGTTGCACCGTGATCTTGGTTTTGTCTGCACTTAGACAAAATTATGAAGCAGCCTTCTTTGATCTTACTCATCCTGGTCTTAGGGTAACCTTGGCAAACACTGATGTTCTGTAAGATTGTTCATGCCCAACAGGAGAATAACAGAGTCTACCTGTGGGTACCAAGCCAGCCTGTACTCCGGCTCAGCTGCGAGCCTCAGACCACTTCCTGGGTGACAGGGGCTGCTTCCTTTCCTTCTCTTTTGGCCAAGGACACGTGAAGTCCAGCTACAGGACATTACTCCATGATACCCAGATTTCCCTACTAGCCATCAAGATGGTTGTTTGGAAAACACAGTCTGTAGCCGGGCGGGGGTCAGTCCCTCCTGCCTGCTGCAGGATGAACTGTTGCATTCTCTGATATGCAAGTGACCGCACAGGAAGAGGTCAATATGGAAAGATGGGGAGGTTTGCATCGGCCAATGTAACACAAGCCATCACCGGAAACAAGTATCAGTAGCGGGTCTTAAAGTCAGGGGCCTAGACTATGAAGCCCAGCGAACAAAATCATGTCCCAGGATCCAATCAAGTCTGTTCTAGACAAGCAGGTGGCTTTCTCCTTTAGCTTAGCCGCAAACTCTTCTACTTGCTCCCTATTATTATTGACATAAGTGTAACAAGTAATATTTGCTGTAGCACAAACTCTCCCTTGGCTGGCTAGGAGGAAATCAAGGGCTAGGCAACTGTCTGTGGCTCTCGAGATAGACAAATCCCTCTAGTGGAGTTAAACGGTCCGTGCAAAGCAGGTTGAAGAGGACAGACCATTGCAATCAGAAGATCCTCGATATCAGGGCCCACTCTTGATCGACTAGGACTTGCTGATAAGATTATAAGGGCTTCAGCAGCAGCATCTTGTTGATGTGAGGCCAAGGTCCAATTTTTATAAGACTGCCGGTCGGGGTTAACACTGGGAAGGAAACAAGTACCAGAAGGGACCTGTAAAAGGGAATCTACCTCCTGAGGTGTTGAAAAGAACAGCTATTAAATTTTTGTCAGCAGGGATAGGTAGGGGGTAACAGAGCCAGCAGTCAGTTCAATTCAGGGCAGTGGTTACAGAAAAAAACACAGAAGAGGGTTTGGTGTTTTTCTTAAGAGGTAGAAGGAGACCTGAGGAGGCAAAAACAATCGGATGGAGACGAGGGATGCCACATTAGTGTTCTAGAGGGCATCAAAATAGAATAATAAGCAAGACGTGTAGAAGAATGAAGGAACAAAATGAGTGCTGAAGAATCAGAAAATTAATCTTGTTCTGTCGTCTTGGGCAGAAGCTGCCCACCTCTGAAGTCAGCAGCTTCTGGAGGATTCCTAAGAATCCCAGGCTTACGATCTCCAGGTGGAATGGATGTCTGCGAATCAGGATGAAGTGACATACATCTTTTAAGGTGGAAATCATGAACTCAGGGATCAATACCTCGGAGCTCTACTGCTATGACAGCTGTTAACGGTAGCCTTCACAGAAGGGACCTTATCGGCTCTGCAGAGGCTGTTTGGGTAGATATTCGGAAATGTGGCTTGCACCTGTTGGCGATAAAGCCGGAGGGATGGTATGAATGTCTCGCATGAGTTAATCATACCTGCTTATAATAAGGGTAGAATCTAAGGCTTGGGGGGGGGGGGGACAAGGGGTGAATTTCCCAAACACTTAGGGCTTATTATTTCACTAATCACTTTTTAAACTTTATTTATTTATTTTTGAGATAGCGAGCGGGCAGGGAAGGAGGAGAGCGAGGGAGAGACAGGATCCCAAGCAGGCTCCACAGTCAGCGGAGAGCCTGACACGGGGCTCAGACTCACGAACCTTGAGATCATGACCTGAGCTGAAACCAACAGTCAGATGCTTAACCGACTGAGCCACCAGGGCACCCCCTCATTAATCCTTACTAATTCATGAGATAACTCGCCAGACTGAGAGGGGTTGACCTTATAGACATGAAAGCTAGCGGTAACACTTTAAGCTATAGAAAGTTTTAAGGTTTCCGAGAGCTTTGTTAGTTCTACAATCGGAGTTCCATTTATTCTCTTTACTTTTCATGAGGACTCTGGATGATAAGGACAGTGTTCTGGGTAAAAGAGAGACGTTTACAGAGCTCCTTAATAACAGTGCTGGTAAATGAGTTTCTCTGTCACTAGAGAGATAAGTTGGAATGCCCCAGACTGGGAAAAAAAATGAAATCAAGATTGTATTTTTGCCACATTTAGGGCCTGTTATTGTGTTGAATCGTGTGCCCCCAAAATTCATATGTTGAAGTCCTCACCCCAGGACCTCAGAATGTGATTTTCTTTGGAGACAGGACCTTTGCAGATACAATTGGTTCAGTTAAGATGAGGTCATCAGGGTAGGCCCTAATCCAATATGACTATAGTGTCCTTACAAAAAGGAGAAATTCAGACACAGACAGGGAAACTAATGCGAAGAAACACAGGGAAAGGCAGCCATCTACAAGTCAAGGAGAGAGGCCCGGAACAGACCCTTCCCTTACAGCTTCAGAAGAAAGCAACCTGGGGTACCGGGCTTCCTCAGTGAGTAGAGTCCGGGACCCTTGATCTCAGGGTGGTGGGTTCGAGCCCCATGTTGGGCGTAGAGCTTCCTTAAATCAATCAATAAGTAAGTAAAGAAGAAGAAGAAACCAACCCTGCCTTCATCTTGATTTCGGACGGCTTGCCTCTACAGCCACGAGACCAACCCATTTCTGTCATCCAAGCTACCCAGTCTGTGGTACTCCATCACAGCAGCCCTAGCCCGCTAATATAGGGCTACACTCTCTGAGAGGAAACACTTTAACCCACCCTGAAAACAAACAATAACCGGGCATATTTATAGGCCATTGAGGAGACATTTGTATAAAGCCTATTTGGAGGTGTTCAAAGGGCCCTCCAGGCTTTGGGTCGTGTCAATGACCCACTTGACAGTTTAAGCAAGATGATGCTGCTAGCTGGTACGGCACGTTTTGACACCTTTATCTTTTGGCATTTGGTAAATCTAGGCGCAGACGACCAATGAGGCCATCTGAGCTGATTTAATTTCTGTGATAAGTTTCTATTTTAAGAGTAAATTTAAGCCTGTGAGAGCATATCCAGCTTGTCAGTTTGGGTTTTTGTTTCTCACGGATGAACAATTAACAAACGTAGTTGAATCAGCGCTCCTCAAGGGAGCCTCTACAAGGTCTGTGCAGCGTATGGATAGGTGCTTGCTGTTTTTTGTTTGCTTGTTTAACAGAAGCCAACAGTTATGGGGTTTCCTTTCTCGGGCAAAGGAAGGAGGCCGGGTTCATAGCGTTGCGGCAACCTTACGAGAGGTAGGTAACAAGCTAAAAGGTGGTGAGCATTTTTTTTTAATACAAAGCATGAAGAGCTCTGAAGTTTAGTTAGAACTAGCCTCGCTGAAGTTTCCACATGTTTACCTGCTGCTGTTACAGCTCTTAAACCAGGGGGATGTTAAAGCAGGCGTGGCTGCTGGGTCTGACGAAAGACCGAAATAAGCATTGGGCCTCTGATGAGGGTCTCGGAGGAGGAGCTCATACAGCAGGACCCCGGGGGGGCCTGGTCATGCTTTTTATGAACAAAAGGAGAGGTGGGATTGTGAATCTAGAATTCTGAACAATTTTGTGATAACGTTGTTATGTAGGTCTTTGTGCTTATACATAAATATGTTTCTTCTACCTTGAAAAATATTTGATCATTGAAATATATTCATGTATCACCTAGTCCTGGTCTACCTATGTCATAGTTCAGGCCGGGTCATAGTGGGTTGATGAGCACACAATAGGGCAGTCTGGGTGGGGCCTGGGTATACATACAGGCTTACCGCCTGGGACAGCTCAGACACCAGAGAAGAGCCTAGACGAAGACATCGGAAACCCACCTTCGTGGCGAGGCTCCGATCCAGAGAATTACCAACGTCCATTCACCCACCACGCAAGCAGTCCGGTCAGAAGAACAAGGTAATGGGAGGTGGGGTGGATGAGACACGCAGAACAAGTAAGAGTGATCACTGAGCTAGGGCTTAGAGGTGAAACTCTCTGAAGAAGACTATTTCTTTACTATCTCTTTATTCCTTTAGCCTATTTGTTCCAAAATGAGCTGGAGATAGCTTACAAGGACTCATTCAATATAGTAATCTAAAAGAATCTTAAAGAAATACATAGAGAGCCAACGGATAAGGGTACTGAGCAGTTAAGCTAGTCCAGAAGCCAGGTAAAGATCCAGTTCTGGGGGCGCCTGGGTGGCGCAGTCGGTTAAGCGTCCGACTTCAGCCAGGTCACGATCTCGCGGTCCGTGAGTTTGAGCCCCGCATCAGGCTCTGGGCTGATGGCTCAGAGCCTGGAGCCTGTTTCCGATTCTGTGTCTCCCTCTCTCTCTGCCCCTCCCCCGTTCATGCTCTGTCTCTCTCTGTCCCAAAAATAAATAAACGTTGAAAAAAAAAATTAAAAAAAAAAAAAAAAAGATCCAGTTGTGACACTGGGTCTCAGGACAAACTAGCAGCAAAAGGGAGCATTTAAACTAGGGGAGACAGGGTTTCAAACGAGACAGTGGGCCTGGGCTTGGAAGGGAAAGCAGCACTTGTATGAGGGGGGATGAACTAACAATATTTTGGGCCAGGGTGAGCACTGATACCTTTGTGCCTAGAGCACACATGGTGGGGAGGAGCCTTGGGGATTGAATGGGGCTGGAGGGGACTTAGCAAGCCACATGGGGTCCTGAACACCCCCAAAGGAGCAGGACTGGGCTCCATTGCAAAGGCTCAGCAGTTTACACAGGCCCTAAAGTGTGAAAAGCTGAGATATGCCTTAGAAAATGTGTTGAATAATAAGGTAAGTGATGCATCTCAATGTGACTACATCTAAATCCATAGGTATGGGAACAAAGAAAGATAAGTGTCTTTACCAAGGGTTACCTGGCTACTGTGATGTAAGAAGTCTGTGACACCACAGAATAGGACAAAGGAAACTACATGGAGGTACCAGGGCAAGAAAGACTTCAGGAAGCTCCTAGTTAATAATGGCCCTTTTTATTTGCACCTGTGCCGCCAGGGAAGGTTTTCAGAGGGAGAGATAACGTTCCCTGACATTACATTCATGTGTCAGCACAAGGTATTCTCAGAGTGGATCAGGAACCCATGGGAGGAAGGAGCCATGATGCTTCCACTGGGAGGCGTTGATGACCTAACAAACTAAGGACTCCCATTGGTGGAAGCTGGCCAATGGCTGCCTCCTTCTCAATCACATCCTCAATAGAAGCAGCCAATGTGCTGGCTTGTCACATCAGCACCCATAGTACAGGGCAGGACTGTTAAGAGGATCCGGATGGCCCTAGAAGGTAGGGTTCCCCCTACCACAGAGAGCTCACACACTGAATCCTGCTCTAGGGGAGGCAATGCAGGGTGGCAGAAGTCATCCCCGACATCACTATTCACAGGTGAGCACAAGGTGCTCCCTGAGTGGCTCACGGAGCCATGGGGAGGAGGGGGCAGAGGGGGCAGGGGTGGAACTATGATGCCTCCTTTGTGACGTGTTGATGACCTAGGAAACTAAGGACTCCCATTGGTGGAAGCTGGCCAATGGCTGCCTCCTTCTCAATCACATCCTGAGTAGAAGCAGCCAACGTGCTTGATTCCCACCTCAACACCCATAGTATAGGGGAGGACTGTTAAGAGGAATAGGGATTGCCCTCGAAAGTAGTGTTCCCCCTATAGTATTTCGAACTCACACACTGAATCCTGCTCTGGGGAAGGTAATGCAGGGTGGCAGAAGTCATTCCTGACATCACTATTTACACGTCAGCACAAGGTGCTTCCCTGAGGGCCTCTGGGACCCAAGATGGGGGAGGAGCCAAGGGCCTCCTTTGTGCTGTGTTGATGACCAAGAAAACTAAGGACTGCCACTGGTGGAAGCTGGCCAATGGCTGCCTCCTTCTTAATCAGATCCTCAGTAGAAGCAGCCAATGTGCTGGCTTGTCACATCAGCACCCATAGTACAGTGCAGGACTGTTAAGAGTTCAGGATGGCCCTAGAAGGTAGCGTTCACCCTATCACAGAGAACTCACACACTGAATCCTGCTCTAGGGGAGGAAATGCAGGGTGGCAGAAATCCCTGACATCGCTATTCAAACATCAGCACAAGGTGCTCATTGAGGGGCTCTGGGACACACAGGGGAGGGGGGGTGGAGCCATGATACCTCCTTTGTGAAGTGTTGATGACTTAGGAAACTAAGGACTCCCATTGGTGGAAGTTGGCCAATGGCTGCCTCCTTCTCAATCACATACTCAGTAGAAGCACCCAGTGTGCTTGATTCTCACCACAGCACCCATAGTATAGGGCAGGACGGTTAAGAGGAATCTGGATGGCCCTCGAAATATTGTTCCCCGTATAACATTTCGAACTCACACACTAAATGCGACTCTAGGGGAAGCAATACAGGGTGGCAGAAATCCCTGACATCACTATTCACACGTCAGCACAAGGTGCTCCCTGAGTGGCTCATGGGGCAGGGGGGAGCCATGATGCCTCCTTTGTGATGTGTTGATGACCTAGGAAATGAAGGACTCCCATTAGTGGAAGTTGGCCAATGGCTGCCTCCTTCTCAATCACATCCTCAGCAGAAGCAGCCAATGTGCTTGATTCCCACCTCAGCACCCATAGTACAGGGGAGGACTCTTAAGAGTAATCTGGATGGCCCTCAAAATAGTGTTCTCTGTATAACATTTCAAACGCAAACACTAAATCCTGCTCTTAGGGAAGCAATGCAGTGTGGCAGACGTCATCCCTGATAGCACTATGCACACGTCAGCACAGAGTGCTTCCTGAGTGGTTCAGGGACCCAAGGGGAGGGGTGGGGAGGAGCCATGATGCCTCCTTTGTGACGTCTTGATGACCTAGAAAACTAGGGACTCCCATTGGTGGAAGCTGGCCAATGGCTGCCTCCTTCTCAATCACATCCTCAGTAGAAGCAGCCAATGTGCTGGCTTGTCACATCACCACCCATAGTACAGGGCAGGACTGTTAAAGGGTCAGGATGTCCCTGGAAGGTAGGGTTCCCCCTATCACAGTGAACTCACACACTGAATCCTGCTCTAGGGGAGGCAATGCAGGGTGGCAGAAGTCATCCCTGACATCACTATTCACAGGTGAGCACAAGGTGCTCCCTGAGGGACTCTTGGCGCCACAGGGGAGGGGGTGTGGAGCCATGATGCCTCCTTTGTGATGTGCTGATGACCCAGAATACTAAGGTCTACCATTGGTGGAAGCTGGCCTATTGGCTGCCCTTCTACTTTGTCACCAACACTATCAGCAACCAATGTGCTCCTCACCACCAGATGCTTTCCAAATCATAGGGTCAAGCCATTAAGAGGAATAGGGGTGGTCTTGGAAGGTAGTAGTCCCATTTCCACCAACTAGACCTCATCTTCGGTAAAAGACCTGCACGGGTAGCATTTGTCATCCCTGATATCACTATTCATATGTCAGCAATAGGGTACTCTCTGAGTGGCCGAGGGATCCATGGTGGGGAGGGGCCATGATGCCTCCATTGTTGGGTGTTGATGGTCCTGCAACTAAGGCTTCCCATTAGTGGATTCTTCCCAAGGGCTGCCTCCCCCTGCATCATATCCCCTGTATCAGCAGCCAGTGTGCTTGTTTACCACCCCAGCACCTCAAATCATAAGGTCTGGCCATTTAGACAAATAGAGGTCGCCTTGGAAGGCAATGCTCCCCCCATGACACCTCCACCTCCACACAGTACAATCCACCCTGGGGAAGGAATTCAGAGGATTCCTGAAGTCATCCCTAACATTACTATTCACATGTCTGACCAAGGTTCTCTCTAATTGGCTGAAGGGACCAATGAGGGGTAAGAGCCAGGATGCCTCCACTGTAGGGTGTTGACTGGCCTCTGATTACATATTCCCATTGGTAGAAGCTGAGCCAATAGCTACCCTCCTACTTAATAATAGAGTCTCTCTGCCAACCACAGTGGGGGTTTGTGTCAGATCTAAAGGTGAAAAGGTCTCTCCCCCATTACCACTCCCCTGAGTACACAAAAAGCCTAAGTGGGTTTTAATGAAGGGATTATTATATCTTGAGACATTAAGTGATAAATGTCGCTGAGAGTTTGTGGAGTAGGAAAGACAGTATTGCACAAAATGGGAATGTAATTTTTAAACCTTTCCACCTAATTATATGTAAATGTATATAATATATGATCTATATAATTTATATATTATATAAACATATAATGTAAAAACATTGCCAGTCAGAAAAGGTATGGGTCTTTTCCTGACCCCATTGGAATCTGTTGAAAGGGATTTTAATTTCCTTTTGGGATATATATATATGAACTGGGTCGTGGTTGCTATGGAGATCTCAAAGCTCATCCTAACTTCTCCGTGGTTATGTCTGAAATTATGTCTTTGGGGAGATTCAAATTATGAGAATGAGGACTGTGGGTGTCTGCCTCTCAAGATGCCACTTGTTATCAGCTACCCTCATCTACTAAACTAGAAAGACTCATAGATTCCCAATCTTAATAGATGATTACATTTCATAGTAGATCTTTTATCCTGTCAACCATCCTGAATAACACACCAAATTAATTTGGGGGCATAAATGGATGTGCTTTTTAGGAGAGTTTGGCTCTATTTTCAGCTGTGAATTATGCATTAGTAAGAATTATTTGGACAGCATTCATCATCATTTCCGAAGTTAATGAAATTCCATTACACTTCAGTACATTTTCATTTCACCCAGTGGTAAATTAATTCTCCCTCACTCTTTCTGTCTCTGTCTCTTGCTGCTCTTTTGCATCATTTACAGTAGTTACAGAGTGGGAACAGGGAGAGGCTTCCTAAGTAGAATAAGTTAAATAAGGGCCAGGAAAGACAGATGTTACTGATTCCCTCTATAGTGGCGATGTGCTCTATAACTCAGTGCCAAGATGAGCAAGGCTGCTTGTTTTCACAGCTGTCACTGCTGTTTCCACTGCTCAAGAATTCAGGGCAGGGTCTGGGTTCTGGGACGTAACTGGGCTACAATCTAGAAGTCTGGCATACATCTCCTCTGCTTAACACGCAGCTCACAAGTGTTGTGAGCTGCCCGCAGGCAGTGCGTGCCACCCAGTCACATCGATGAATAGATGGCTGGGGGAGCTAGGTATGGGTCTACCTGGGGGAGCTCCGTGGGCAAAAGAGAGGGCCAATAGCATTGCCAGGTCCAGCTTTGCCCCACCCAGGAGAAGCGAACCTGGAGCTCTCCTAGGTGCTGGATGTTCACCTTTCATTGTCATTGGTCTCATCCTTCCTGGTCCCACCCTACTTCCAACTTAGTCATGGCTCAAACCAAATCCTGCTCCCACAGGTCCCCTGCCCAGTGGCCAATAAATCCCTTCTTCTGTCTGGCTCTCTAGCAACTGACCAAGGTGCACCCTGGAAGCTGCTTTGACCCCCACTCACAGGAGGCTCTGCCTGTTTCTAGACTCTTCTTCTGGCTCAGAACTCAGAAAGAGCAGGGTTGGAGTGCCTTGGACTTCCAGGGGAACACTGCCAAGTTCTGTACCAACGTGAGTCCTAGTTTCCACAGCATGAAATGGAGATAATATCTCTCTCACAGACTCATTATGAGCAAGATATGAGATAATGTATGGGAAAGTATGGAGCTCGGGGCCTAAAACGTGGTAAATGACTGTTATTATGATTATTACTGGCTCATTCTAATGATGTTCGCTGACTGCTTTCTGATTTCCTGCACCTTTTCCCTTCAGTTTGCTGTTATGCACAGCCTCCTGCCCATCCCCCACGAGGCTTAGAGGGGGAATGGGAGGCACTAAAGTATGGCAGTTCCAGCACCACTCACACTAACGCCCCCAGCTTCCCAGTCTAAGCCAGTGTAGGCCCACCCTAAGCAAACCATTTGCTTCCTTCTCCATTCCTCCCTTTCATAAGTTATCCCAGACAGCTTTGCTTACATTGACTATTTGGAGGTTGGCATTCTGCCTACAGAAAGTGAGGGAAGGGTAGGGCTTCTATCTGTTCCATTCAGCCCAACACTGAACCCTGTCAGGCACTGTGCTAGGCAAAGAAATATTTATCGAGCACCTATTCCATCTCGGGCACCACACTAAACACTAAAGATTTCATGATTGGCAAAGTTAGACATGGTCCCTGATCTCACAGAACACAGTCTACTAGGGGAGGAAGATATTAATAAAATAGACATGTTAATGATTTAACAACTCCAAACTAAGATAGGTGCTCCTAAAAAGGTGCTCACCTTTTTACCATAAAGGTGAAGCAGCTCATGAAGCTTCGGGTCAGCTTTAGGGCTCCTCATCTGAATAGGCCCCTGTAAGTGCTGGGAGATGCTGGGAGTCAGAGTGTTCTAGATGGAGAGAGATATAGATATGAAAGTCACCCTCGAGATGATGCAGGACTTGGAACAAAGAGGAAGGTCATCTCCAGAGTGTTTACTGCTTTAATTATATAAGTTAATAGGTGACATATTATCAACTTGCAGCCTTTGGGCAGATGTGTGTCTCATCTAAGAAACAGAATGGAACCTTCGAATCATTTATAGAGGGAAAGGGCTCCAAGTTCCTAAATATCAAAACCATACAAAAACAAGTCTGTTTCCATGGGCGAAAAAGTCCTCAATCAATCAGTTCTGTCAGAGCAATTAGAAATGATCCCAGTCAGATGGATTGTTTTCTGGTCGATGGTATTCGGCCAAACTAACCGGAATGAAATCAACCAGCTGGCAATCCCATTGATTGTACAATCATCGGTCATTTTTCTAGTCCAAAAAAATGACCTTCACATGAGCAATTCAGGCATGTAATAACAACACAGACTCTTGCTTATGTACCGTAGTCATCGCTTTGGATTACCCTTCAGCTTAATTTAGTTGCCCTGTGTAACACAATGTATATTTATTCAGATTATTTGGTGTTCTCTATTTCAATTAACTCCAGACGGGTCCCCTCTAGAGGTAAAAGACAGCAGAAGTTTATTTACCTACATTAACCAAATTGGCAGGTAGTCAGGCAAACAGAACCATGGCAACCTCTGTCTAGAAAGCTGCCCAGAGCTCACGAGCCAGGAGGGTGATTTGAGTCAGGTGGAGATAAGAGCGTAACCTTGACTGTAATTCATAGTTGTCAGGGAAATGGCAGAACTGGGGAGGTGCCCTATTCTTGCTGAAAGCAGAAGCCATTAATGTGGGGAAGTAATTAGTATTGATTGAGAAAGGTACAGTAAATCCTGGGACCACGTGCATCCCCTTATCAGGAGATGGTTTCCAAGGGTCACCAATCCCAGGAAGCTCAGATTGTCGTGACTAATTTGGAACTCGGTAAATCTGTACATAAACCTGAGGAGTAAAAGGCTGCATGATGCAGTCATTAGAGGGACCACTGAATTCGACCTGGCTCCCAGAGGCTCTGCAAAAGGAGGAGAATTACACCAAATGGTCACAAGGTCTCTCCCTCTGTCTCTCTCTCCCTCTTCCTCCCCCCCCCACCCTGCCCCGCCAATTTCACAAACTCCTCCCTACTAAAAACAATCTACAAAAGTGATCAATTTCTTAAAATTGAAAGGAGACATGTATTCTCCAGAGGGGCACCTGGCGGGCTCAGTTGGTACAGCATGCGACTCTTAATCTCAGGGGTTGTGGGTTTGAGCCCCTTGTTCTGTGTAGAGATTACTTAAAAATAAACTCTTTAAAAAAAAAAAAAGTAGGTTTCTAAAGTATGTAATTCTAATAGAAAGAATGTCAAATAAACTCCCCACCTTTGGACCAGGCTTCAGGCTGAGACCAGGAACTTAAGTGTTTCTCCAGAGTTCATTTCATTCTGGAATGATTTAGTCACTACATGACACGTGGTCACTACTGTTTTTAGCTATTGCCCCGGTCAGGACCCTGCTTGTAACAATACTTTCTTTCACCCTGGACAAGAAAAAGTCCATTCTAGACAAGAGACCAAATTAGTACACATTTTCATCCTGCTGTCCTTGAAGATTTCTCCTCTCACTAGCAATGTAGGAGAGGTGCAAATAGCCTGCATCCTTGCCAGCATTTTGATAGTATCAGTTTTGTTTTTGCTTTGTTTCTATTTGAACCATCCCGATCCGGTATGCGGTGGTATCTCACTGTGGCTTTAATTTGCATTTCCCTCATGACTAATGGGGTCAAGCATCTTTTCATATGCGTATTTACCAGCATTATGCCTGACACATAATAATTGCTACCTGCCAAGATTTCAGGTGGTTTCTACCCTCTTCTTCCCAAATGCCCGATTTTTAACAGAGGCCATCAAGAGACCAGATCTTACCTCCCCGCTGGGGGTTTTAAGTAGCTGTCACGTGCTGCAGGAGGAAGGCCTTGGGGAGCCAGGGAGACAAAGGGGTGTCTCTGGGAAGTTCTCAAACACCACACCTTGTAAGGGAGCACAGACTGCTGGTAGTAAGAACTGTCCTAATTCTAAAAGTTCTTTTCAGTACTAAAAGTTCTTCCCAATTCTAGCTTCTCTGGATTAAACACACACACACACACACACACACACACACACACACACACACACGCGCGCACACACGCACGCGCGCGCAGTTTTCTCTTTTTAATTAAACAGTTGTTTCTGTCAGCTGGATTGGAAGGTGGCTTGTAACCAGAACTGCCCATGCCGGGCTGGCTGCGTTATTACAGTTATGATTCATATCAAATGAGATGAGAACATTTACTATCTTTACAGCCTCCCTTCACACTCTGAAATCAAGTCTCTATAGTTTCTCATTTCTTTTGCTGTTTAACAAGAAAAAAGCAACTTGATTCTTGAAGCCTGGAACCTGATTACATTTTGACTCACTCAATATTTATTGAGTATCTAAAACATGCTAAAACTAGGCTAGACAGCTGGGGGGGGGGGTTCATGAAATATGGACCTAATCTCAACCCCAGGAGGGCAACCTGTGGTCAGTATACCTTGGGCTTATTTCAGGAAACAGCGGAAAATTCTGCTGGTTGTCCACGCTTGGTACATGGGGCCGAGGCATGAGGCAAGGCTCCTTAAAAAAAAAAAAAAAAAAAAAAAGTAGGCCTTTTTCTTTTTTTGATGACCCTCTGAACAAAGTTTCCTTTAGTCCCCGACTCACTTCCTCATTGTAACAGCATTCTGTGCTTGTGTTTAACTATTTCCTGTTCACATTTTCCAAACGGCCTTGTTTCTTATTCTCTGCCTTATCAAGAACTACAGGGAGACAGCATAAAATGTTATATAAGCCTTAGCCTGTATTCTTAGCCTAAAGAAGCTAAAGAAGTCAAAAGGGTGGGGAGAGGTGGGGCAAGAGTAACATTACTATTGTGAATATTTTGTTCAACTTACAGAACTATGTACCTAACAGATGAGAGATCGATGACAGATAGATGCTCTTGTTTAAGGGAGCTCTCCACCTAATCGATAATTTAATGGAAGTTGGACGAGATTATATTTGACAGCAAACACTGGAAGGGACCCTTCCAGTGAATAATTCTGTGCATGCTTGTGTATTACTGAAGAGAACTTCATGTGAGCGAGGAAGGTTTGAATCACTTACCTACACAGTCAGTTCTTAATTATCCATGTTAACAGAGGGAAGCAATTGCTCTGATAAGCTGAAACAACAGATAATCAAAAATTCTTCTCCTTAATTAGTCACCTGTCCTCCTACTGTCTGTCTCCCCCTCCGCCCGCGCCCAGCAAACGTTTTTTGTTGTGAACCAGGGAAAATGTTTTCCCGGGGTAATCTCTCCCCCTACAGGCAACTAGCCTACCAAACTGGTCGATCAGTTCCCCGAGGAGAGGCTCCTACACTCGTTTCGGGCGGGGTCGGTGGGGGGCTGGCGAGGAGCGACTCTTCCTCTAGCTGGAAATGGGCACGTCCACTGGCCAGCGTGCACCCGCGCACCTCCTGCTTCCGGTACTGGCGCATCCGGGAGGCCAAGGGAGGAGGCGGGACCGGGTAGTGATCAAGGGCTGGGAAAGTCAGGGGGAGCTGTGGGACTCTGGGTAAACTGCTCCCTGAGCCTCAGCTTACTTAGTTGTGAATGGGGATCACAATGAATAGCTCATTGACCTTTTGTCAGACGTGAATGAGATAATGCAAAGCCCCTGGTGACGTCAGCCATTTTATCATTATCATTATCATTATTATTATTGACTGTGCCAAGAACAATTATTACAAGAGTAAATGGATCTCCTCAACTAGGAGCTGTGAGCTTGCTGCAGGTGATTTATTATAATCGTACTAAAAACTTCTGATTGTTGAAAACACATTCTAGCAGATGCAGGTTACCCCGCAATAACCTTTGCTTTCATTCTCATTCTGATAACCCTGGCCGCCAGAGGAAAAGGTAAGATTACACCTGGTGCCCTGGGAGCCCCGGGCACGCCCCCAAGGGTGGGAATGTCTCTCCGGAAATTGAGATTCCCTCGCTGGGAGCCTCAGGGGGTCCCGATGAGCACTTCATTCATCACGGAGCACCCTGTAGCGCTTAAAGCTCCGGGAAGCGGGTAAGCGGCCTCTCCTCCCGGTTTCCGGTCAGACCACCCTCTCTTCCCCACCGGAATTACTCAGGCTTCCTTTAAATTTGTAAATATCGTTCATTACATCTCCAAACCTTGCTCCCGGCCTGGGAGCTATTCTCTCCGGAAGGTGATTTTGCAAATAATGTAACCTCATCCATTCTGGGTGGACTTTATCAGACCAGCTTTCGGAATTCTGGGACCCGTCTACTGTCACCGCTGCCTACGTTAACTACCTGTGTGACCTTGGTCAAAACACTGGTCCTCTGTACTATGAAATGGGTTGCCCTAGAAATTCACTGAGGCTGGTTCCTTCCTGCTGAGACCTTCCAGGGTTCTAGGATTCCAGTCGGGGAGGGGAGAGCGTGGAAAAGGACACGCACAGGCACAATTTGAAGGAGGCCCGAGATGGCTCACGTGTACTTAATAATACGGCCCAGAGAAGCTGTTCTCCTAACCTCATTTTAGGCAAAGGGAGAGATTGGCCTGCGGAAACATCGCAAGAGTTAACGTATCTGTGAAATCCCATATATTATCTGATCACTAACGTGATTTCTGGTACTTTTTCCCTAGGCCTCCACAGAGGGACCAGACCTTGCCCAGAGGCCATGCTCCCTTTCCTCACTAGGTGGCAGCAACACTTAGCTTTGCCCAATAGAAAAAGGGTCCGTTGTCCCTTGTATGACTAGCTCAATCATCTAATGTTTGATTGGGGAGCATCCCCACGCCTTTCGTTTCGATTTCTGCTTGTATTTTCCTGAACAGCTAGTAATTGAAAATAATGGGACCGATTTCAGGAGGAAAGCCAGAAAAGAACCAAAGCGGTAACTGAGTAGGACCCTTTAATTTGTACAGGGGGAAACAGCTCTGGCCAAGGTCCTACAGGTAGGTGAAGTGGCAGACTAGGAACTAGAACTCAGGTCACTTAAATCTCAATCCCAATCTCTTCCACGCTCCTTCTTTGGGGAGGTAAATATGCCCAATGGTTTCCTTTAGCAACTGTACGCCCTGAGGCAGATTGGTGAACCTCTCTGGACCTGGAAGGAGTTCCTCATCTGTAATAAGGCCGTAATAATAGTATCTACTTCCTAGGGTTTTACAAGAATTAGGGACCAGGAGTGCCTGGCTGCCTCAGTCGGTGGAGCATGTGGCTGTTGATCTCAGGGTTGTGAGTTGAAGCCACAAATTGGGTGTAGAGATTACATAAGGAAATTTTTTAAAAAGGAATTACAGACCATGTGTGCAAGGGACAGAGAAGCACGTCACACTCAGGGAGATGTATCCCAGGCAGGTGTGTCACACACAGGTATGCCTGAAGACATTTTGTTCCACAATTTCCCACAGCGGAGCCTGATACAACACACTATGTACACAGTTTTCCTTCTCCCCACACAGGGCAGTGCATGCATTTAAAACAAAAATTAATGTTTATTTTTGAGTGGGAGAGAGACAGAGCATGAGTGGCGGAGGGGCAGAGAGAGAGGGAGACCCAGAATCGGAAGCAGGCTCCCGGCTCTGAGCCGTCAGCCCAGAGCCCGACGCGGGGCTCGAACTCACAAACCGCAAGATCATGACCTGAGCCGAAGTCGGACACTTAACCGACCGGACCGAGCCACCCAGGCGCCCCAGCGCATGCATTTTTTAACATAAAGCAATAAAGCTAGCCTCAGGAAATCAGGAATGGGAGAGGATATTCAAGGCCTCTTTCAAAGCTAACCGTCTGCCAACAGTCTCTGATTCCGGTATGGAGGTGAACTGTGTCTAACTCCAGTCTCTCCCATAGGGAAAGAGGGACGAGGCGGCTGCTGCTTGGGTTATTACCTTCACCTCCATCACTCACCCGCTACGGTAAGACAACGGTAAGACCTGCGACGGTGGCGCAGGGGCTTGCTCACAAGACGAATCTCTGCGTACCACACCCAATCTAGTTCATCTGACTCCGTTTGAAACATGCAGAAGACTATCAGATCCGAGGACATCGACACAGGTAAGCCTCAACTTTCTCCTTCCAGCGCCATTGATTGGGGGCGAGAGCACTGCATTTGTAAATATAGTGAAATTGTTCTTAGGATACGCACTATTGAGTCTCTCCAGAGAGCCTAGGGCCAGGCTGGGTCATGTGTGGCCTGTTAGAGTCCTAGAGAGTGACTGGAGCTAAATTAAATCCAAACGATGACAATGCCTGACGTTGATAAAGTGTCTACACGTTTATACAATGTTTTGTCTACTCTTCACAAAGCACTTTGGGATTGTGGTCTCATTTGATCCTGGAAACAACACTGGAGTCAGCGTGGCAGATAAGTTACCATATCATAAATGAGAGTATGAGAGGCAGGACAAGATCAAGCACAAAGATCATTGAAATCAAACACACACGAATTCATATCGCTGTGTGCCTCTGGGCAAGATAAAAATATTTCTTTTTTTTTAAGATAAAAATATTTCTAAGCCCCAACTTCCTTATCCACAAAATGGGGATGATAACAGTGTCCACTTCAAGGGTTGTTGTGAGGATTAAATGAGATGATGCATGATGCATGGAGGCAAAGGGTCTTAAGTCAAAAATGTCCCTTATCTTTCTTCAATCAGCGACAGTTTGTTGGCGACAGAAATCAGAACAGGCACCCCAAGCCCAGTGGGCCAAATGTTCAAATTCAAGCACACAGACACATAGATCTACAGTTAGATTTTTCTTTGTGAAATGGCAGGCTTTTCTTCAAAGCCCAAATCGCCTTTTTTTTTTTAATTGTTTTTCAACGTTTTTTATTTATTTTTGGGACAGAGAGAGACAGAGCATGAATGGGGGAGGGGCAGAGAGAGAGGGAGACACAGAATCGGAAACAGGCTCCAGGCTCCGAGCCATCAGCCCAGAGCCTGATGCGGGGCTCGAACTCACAGACCGCGAGATCGTGACCTGGCTGAAGTCGGACGCTTAACCGACTGCGCCACCCAGGCGCCCCCCAAATCGCCTTTTTGTTCATGATGGGAAATTCACAAGTGAATCCCCAGCATTTTATTTGGTGAAGTGCTTGGGACAGTCACACCCCATGTGAGGCTTTGTTAGATTTTAACACAGAAACTGTTTGTCCTGTTCTGTATTGTCATGGTCACTTCTGCTCCAAGACACTGAGTAGGAGGAGGAAGTCAGAAAAGGGCCAGGAAAGGACTAACACTGGCAAGGGGTGGGAAAGGAAGTTTCAGGCAAGAGTCCCAAGTTCCTCTTCTGTGCCTCGACAGAACACTTAAACACTTATTTTCCCAATGATATAGCCTCTCATCACTGGGGACACACAAACACAGTCAACTGGTGGTATTTCTCTGGAAAGCAATCTGGTTTGAGAGCTCTTTCTGTGTTTCCTTCCATTTTTGAGAACATATTCCAAGGAAACCACCCCAAAAGGGGCGTGAGGGTGGGAGGGTGGTAAGCTATGGAAGATTTTCCAAGCCCCACTGTTTATAATGGTGACACACTGAAAACAACCCACATGTTCAATAATGGCAAAGTATCTAAAAAAGAAGTAGAGTCTACTGACCAGATGGAATGTTCTTTGGGCAGTAAAAGGGTAAGTACTGGGTCTGTGTTAAGTGAAAAAAGGAGATGACAATGTGGTATAGACACAAATGTTACAACTATGTAAACCTGAAGTATAACATGGACGTGAATATAAAGGAAGGAAAATGTTTAGTGGCTAGAACGTGTTCATTCAGTTGTGTATAGCTCTTGCCACTTTATAGACCTTGTCTGGTTTGATCTTCATGGCAACTAATCATCTTGTCAATTTCCACACACAACAACACCCCGCCCCGTGCCAGGATTCTCATCTGGATTGTGTTATGATGGCATTTTTTAAATTACTGTTTTCGAAGTTTATTTATTTTGAGAGAGACAAAGACAGTGCAAGTGGGGGAGGGGCAGAGAGAGAGAGAGGGAGGGAGAGAGAATCCCAAGCAGGCTCTGCGCTGCCAGCCTCAGGCTGTGAGATCATCGCCTGAGCCGAAACCAAGAGTTGCATGCTTAACCAACTGAGCCAACCAGGTGCCCCGGAAGCTAAGTTTTAAATCTCACCCTCTCAAAATCGAGTGTCTTTGAGCTCTCAAATAAGTCACAGTTTTGAGTTTTTCTCTTTCTGGTGCTTCTGAGAATCCCAGCTCAGCAGGCTCACTCCAAAGTATTCCTTAGCTTGTTTTGAAAGGTATGGTGCAAAATGCCACCGGAGAAAAATATAACTGACTTTTCCTATTTTAAAACAATACACAATTCAAAATATTATGTTACTATCATTCATAGTTCCATGAATTTTGGAGACCATACTGAAAGTGCTTCCTTTCTACCACACCCAGAGAATTGGCAGAGATGACGGGGAGTGGGAAATGTACTGAGAAAGAATTTGGAACCATGCACAGATAGTGTAAGTGAAAAATGTTGAAATTCTGTGCTGTGACATCCCCAAGGCTGAAGGGAAACTTGAATCTGCTTTGGTTTCAGTTAGCGTTCAAACAACCTTATGGTGGAGGAACTATGTCCCCTGAGTGCGAGCTGTCCTTCGGGGCTGGGTGGAGTGCAGTGTTGAACCACATGACCTGGGTTAGCCCCAACAGACCTGAGGTTCTTCAAGGCCCTTGTCTTTCTCCTAAGAGAACTGTTCTCTTCGGGGCACCTGGGCGGTTCAGTTGGTTAAGCATCTGACTCTTTTTTTTTTTTTTTTTTTTAATGTGGTACCTATTTTTTTAAGTTTATTTTGAGAGAGAGAGAGCACGCTGGGGGTGAGATCAAGCCCTGGGTCAGGCTGTACATTGACAGCGCTGAGCCTGCTTGGGATTCTCTCTCTCCCTCTCTCTTTGCCCCTCCCTCACCCACGCTTTTCCTCTCTCTCTCAAAATAAATATTAAGAAAAAAAAGAGAGGACATTTTCTTCTTGCAAGATCTAATAAGGCCGTGTCCATTTGCAAGAAATGAGGAGATTGCGAGGATCCTACTGGCTACGATCTATGTTTGGACTATAGCTACTCCTGCCTTGTGCCTTCTCTAGGAGGACATGTGCCTGCAGGCAGGGGACAGGGTCTATGACTGCAAGAGGGAACAGACCCTACCCTGTCCCCTTCTGAAACAGGCCTTCTCCTCCCGTACAGCAGGGGGAAGCAGAGAAGAAAGGAGGGTGGGGAGCAGCGACACAAAGCGTAGTGATTCTGTGAGGCTTCAGTATTCTGGTTTACAAGATTTCAAGTGTATGAATGATTCCTGTGTTCGTCTCCCCCCAAACAAGCCTCTTTGTTAGACAGTTAAGCACAATTATTATTCTTTGCATGAAAACTTGATCTCTGGTCTCTGACTGCAAACCCCTCTTCCTGCATCTGAGCTCCAAAATGTTTATTCTCTTGGTCTCCTCGTCTTTATTATCCTATCACCTTGTGAAACATCTCTAGCCCTCTGGCCACAAACGAAAACTTATATAATGACAGCATTTCTCCCAGCACCAATTTTCTTCAAATGAAGAAAGCGTCGAATTACCTATTCCAATCTGCACCGTGTGCTACATTATCATTGTTGATAGCATTCGGCATTTTAGGGGATAATTCTACTGGCCTCATGGCGTAATTGGCAAGCATAAGTGAGACAGTGTGAAAAAAGCATGTAACTCAGTGTATATTGAGAATGGAACCTGATCCTTTATATCAACAAAACAGGTGTTTTTAATAGGTAGTATTTTATTTATTTTATTTTTTTAAATTTTTTTTTCAACGTTTATTTATTTTTGGGACAGAGAGAGACAGAGCAAGAATGGGGGAGGGGCAGAGAGAGAGGGAGACCCAGAATCGGAAACAGGCTCCAGGCTCTGAGCCATCAGCCCAGAGCCTGACGCAGGGCTCGAACCCACGGACCGCGAGATCGTGACCTGGCTGAAGTCAGACGCTTAACCGACTGCGCCACCCAGGCGCCCCTTTATTTTATTTTTTTAACGTTTATTAATTTTTGAGAGACAGAGTGTAAGTGGAGGAGGGGCAGAGAGAGAGGGAGACACAGAATCCGAAGCAGGCTCCAGGCTCCGAGCTGTCGGCACAGAGCCCGACATGGGGCTCGAACTTGCCGCGAGATCATGACCTGAGCTGAGGCTGGACCCTTAACTGATTGAGCCACCCAGGCGCCCCATCAACAAAACAGTTTTAAGCAACTGTTATTATGCTCATTTTACAGACAAGGAAACTTAGGGTCAGTATCGAATAGCAATTAAGTGGCGGGACTGGGACCCAGGCCACCACACCATAATTGGTAAAGGGGAATGTTTGGGGACTCAACAAGTTAGCCAATCTGTTACTCTCCTAGCCAGTCAGTTACTAAGTTTTGAAAGCTTATATAATGACAGCATTTCTCCCAGCACCAATTTTCTTCAAATGTCATTTCCTCCTTCTATAAACAGGCTGCACACATCCCTGACTCACATTTGAACAAAGTCATTTCACATTTTGAATTTTCTTTCCCCTGCAGTCAGCCCTATGGCAATGCCACAGGCCTGGGGCCAAATGCCAGCTCATAGTGGAGGATGTGTGAATGCCATAGGCGAAGAAAATAGCATGAGACTAACTGACAGTGGTCCCGAAAGTGCAATCTTACCCAGAGTTTCCCCAGCAGGCTGTGGATTAAGATATAAATGACATATGGAGATGTCAGGCCTGCTGTGGCCCATGTTCCTGTCAAGTGCGCACACTGGGTCATTTTTAATCATGCAAACGCCGCCGAGCAGGCTTCCCAAATATTTCTACAGAACTAAAATTGAAATCAGTGTTTTATTTGTCACACCTTCCTTCTGAAGTCAGACTCATCTGCAGTATCCCACTGTACACACATCCAGAAGGAACCAGAATTTGGCACACATACCCTCCTCCTCCCAGAAAAAAAGAACTGGTTAGTTCCAGGGGACTGAACAGTTCCTCCTGGGTATGTTTCAGTTGAATTAATCATCCCCAGGCATAATAATAAATATCACCACC